AGCATTCTGGATGTAACACCAGGACTACAAGCCTTGGAAGTGCTGATACCACCAATTATTTTATCTATATCAGAAACAGATACTGAAATATTCTCAATTGAAACATTAGATGTATGTAAAGGATAGTCAACTTAATTATCGCATACTTAAAATATTTTTCTAGGTTTCAAACAGTCAAACACCACTTTTCGCGGAGCGATCACATGATAACTAAAATTGATATCGAAAAAATACTTTCGTTTGTGCCACATTCAATATGAATACTATTCTATCAGTTTTTGTCCTGATGCTCTACGAGTTCAAATAAGAGAGACTGGTGGGTGGAAACATTGAAGAACTAGATGCCAGCTAGGCACTGCGAAGATTGGAAGCCGACAGAGTGAAAACAGCTTTTAGCTAACAGCTTAAGCTACGTAGATAATTAATTTAAACTGAAAATATCTTGGTAGAAGAATCTCGTGTTTTCTCCTGTAGCAACAAAAATATGTTTCGAATTTTATTCACCTACAATTATCTTCTACAACATATTATTCACATTATCGTACCAGCTGATCATTATTCTATCATACCTTCTGCTATAGCTTTCATCATATCAAGCACTATAGTATTCACTACGAAGAAACGATCAAGTTTTCTGAAAAATATGCTCATTTTATGGCACTAATTATAGGGTAGCTAAAGCAAATATTCGAAAACTAACTTCAGCTGTCTCATGTAGGACTCTTTTACTTTCGAATCATCTTTTTCTCAGATCTGCACGATCAGAGATAACCGAGAGCGATGAATGAAAAAATCGACTAAAAGGTTAGAGAAAGAATACGGCTCACAGTGAAAAGCAATAAGCCGATTTTTAGTCGTTCCACTCAGTCGGTTTAGTCATAGTTGAATAGTGTTTTACGTACTTCATCACGTTATCGTTGAGTGCATTGTTGCCAACCGGTACGTAAATGGGATTTTCATCGTGAATTTCTGAACTGTAATTATCTCTTTGAAATTTGTATGGACTATAATAGTATATACCATCGACGAGGTCAGTTAACCATGCTACACGAATATATGTATCTGGAAGATTGTTTATATAATCCCCGGGTATCTAAATGCGATGAAAAATTAAATATTTATTATATTTTAACAGAATAATAAAATTACTTTTAAGGATACAAAATGATTTCCGACACTGTCTGAAACATAGCGTGGTTTTCTAACACAACCATTTTGTGGAAAATAATCACGTTTATAACGTGGTCGAAATGTTTCTTCTAATGGATATACAAGTTGTAACTGCTTCGATAAGGAGTTGGTAACATCAGCAGATTTTGACAACTGTATATTATACGGTGATACATCATCATATATTTTGTTGTTTTTAGTGAGAACTTTATAATAGAAACAAAAACAACACTAATTAACAGTAAGCTCTATCATAATAAATACAACTATTTTTCTCATGGCTTGAATGTATTAGTGGTGAACCTTGAACAGGGGAAAAGATCACTTTTAACTGATATAAAAAACAGTACACACACACACGCACATTGTGTACTCAATTCACATGTTTGTATTAGCGTATTATGTGCTATTTGTTATAACATTTTATTGAACATTTAATAAAGTTTTCATTACAACTTACTATCTTCAGTTCCATTATCATCTGCGTTAATACTTGGCTGATTATTTTCAAGAGAGAGAGTTTCAGCAGATCCTAATATGTACAAGAGTATACGCATAAAACAGATATAATAACAAACACCACTACACTATAATTACTGTCCAGTAACGAAGGCACCTCAATGAAAAGATCTTTGAATTCATTTTCCGACAACGGACTAGCACATAGTAGATCATTGTAATCTACAAAATAAATTAGCAAATAATGAAAAGTTCTGTTCAGTTTATTGCTCATTTCACCTGCTATATCGACGTCAGGAAACATGTTTACCTCATTCAAATGATGATGTACCATTTTAGGTTCTAAAACATTACAAACATTTACATTAGATTTCTATTCTTCATTCTATAGTGATGGCATCAGGCAACTTGAATACAAGTTGAAAATGTAGTATACCTTCAGGCATATAATTGTTTACTGTATATCTTTTACTGAAAGATCTAATGAAAATATACATTAAAACTTACCTAATTCGGTCATGTTTCCTGCTGAATCCATCCCCAAAATCTGATTTTTATTGATCATATTAGTCACAAAAATCAAAAGTTCTAAATACAAAAGAGAATAAGTTATTTATTTTTGAATAATAAGCAAACAGTTATTCTCTACCTTATGAACTTAGCATGCAAAACAAAACAAAAAAACACGGCACCGTTATATAATTCTAGTATTTTAGAATAATTAAAAACAAAAACAATAGTATATTCATTTAATTTTATTGAGTTTATCAATGTACACGGCAAAAGTACAGTATCTAATCTTCACTTCTTACTTGAGCAGTAAACTATAGCTGAATAAAATAAGTTAGAACAAAAAATATATACTATATTATATTGACACTTAGAAGATGATAACATTAATCAAGAAACTCTAAGAGAAAACACTAGAATAGTTGTAAGTTTTCCTCTTGTTACAATGACATTCAGTTTTTACTTTTTAATGTTAAACATAGCTATGTCTAAATTTTTCTTATGAATACAATAAACTAACGAATAATAGTATCGCCTTCTATTTCCATTGACTTGGTTTTTTCCTTTTATGTTTTTCTTCTTTTTCTTTCACTCATGTGTCATTCATTACTAATAAACTAAATGGATGACGTCACGATAATATGTGAACTCAACTAAAGTACACACTCAAAGAGATGGATTCAAATTTCATGGAACTTTTAAAAATAGACTTTTTGATAAATATGTGTAAAATTTTTTAAATTCGACTGTTGCAACTTTATTCATGAATGTCTTTTGAATATTTTTTGTTAAAGCATTTAAGTTGAAAAAATAAACTTAATAGAATAATAAATTGTTATTTTATATAGAAGCATAATGCTTCTTTCTCTTTATTCCAAATAAATTATCGATATAGCTCGTCTCTGATTGCTTTTTATATGTCTATAGTGAACTAATAGCTTTTTTTGCTCTTCTTAGTAGTTGAAGAAAATCATAAAAGAAATTTTAAAAGGATTTAAATTTAAAATGATTCTTTACTGTTTATCTTTCAATTATTTTTATACTGAAATAAATAGAAAGAAGAAAATTTCATCAGTTTGCTTCTATATAGAATTACAATTTGTTTACTTTTCCTTAAATGCTACAATGAAAATACTGTGAGGTTTTATTCACTCACTTCTCATCTTTATTTGCATAAAGTGAACGTCTATATATAGTAGCTACAAGTTGAACAACAGTTATGCAAGAGTTGGGCAGGAGTTGCGCAGGAGTTGCGCAAGAACAGAAAGAGTTGGGAAAACCAGGGGATGACACAACTATTGCGCAAGAACAGAAAGAAAGAAAAAGAAGAAGAGAACATAGTCTTATGACCTGCCAGGAATGTCAGATCATAACAAATACAATATCCAGAAGACATTTATCAATAATCTTGCAACAGTTGAATTTAAAAACTTACACACATAAAGCGTTGTTAAGGTTGTAAAAATGGCTTAAAACTTGACTGCATCATCAGACAATTACTTTCTTGTGATGTTTCTAAAGATGTTTTGGGGGATCTGAATTTCTATTAGGATAATAATATAAGTTACCATTAAGAGAAAACACTTGCATTATTCGTCTCGAAGTACTATAGGTAGATTATAATTTGTGAAAAGTTTAGTAAAAATTACATGTCAAATTTCAAAGTTAGTTTCTAAGCCGCCTCGGAACTTTCATGAAACTTCAAAAACATCAATGGTTTTATTTTTGTTTAAAAAAGTGCTTTATTTGTATCGCGTTGTCTTCTTCACCTAATCATAGAATGTCGTATAATCGATCTCTTTACTGAAAACCAAATTTAACAAAGAATTCTCCTCAACAAGTCCCCCGTTCGATCTCTCAGGCAATGATAAATCAAAGTCAACTAATTCAAGATTTCATTTATTTCACTTATTACTGTATTGGCAAGACCAACAATCTTTTGTATTAAATCAATTTCAACTGGACAAGTAATGCCCTTATCTCCGATCACTTTCAATAATTGTTTATAGATTCTGTCAAAAAATACTGTCGATTGCAACATGTTTGATCAATCAAATGGAGCTTGGTTTAGTTCAGCCGTTATTGTTTTTCTGATTTGTTTCCTAAAACTCGTATCTAGTGATTTTGTTTCAATAGTGATGCCTGATAACTTAGATATAACTTTTTTTGGCTACTCGTTCTGCTCGTTTCACCTAATCTTCTTGCTCACTGCTTATAGCTTCCAGCTTATCAATCACTATTTGCTTGTTCAAATAAATAAAATTTCGAATTGTTGATAATGTGTAGGCAGAAGTGTTTGTCTGCAGTCTCGCACGTTCTTGTAGACGCATCACGTCATAACTAAAATCATTTCTTAATTCATTTTCCAATTCTTTCAAATTTTTTGATTTTATTAGCTTTCCGATGGTCGATAGTTTATTAAGAATATTTTCATGAGATGGTATGGAATTGCCGTAAACAAATTTAATTGCTTGTTTTAATCGTTCTTCCGGATTAAATTTACTATTGATAAAGTTTATTTTACTTTCCCACATTTTGCCAAATAGATCAGTCGCTTTCGGTTTTGTTAATGTTTCTTCCTGTTTTATTATTCATTCAATTAACTTTGTTAAATCTGCTGAGCCATCACGAATAAGCAACTCCATTGTTTTTTGATCCGATCTTTGAATTGCAGCCGTACACCATGCATTTCTAATTTCTGTTACTTGTTGTTGTAAAAATTATTCACAACAGTCACGAATACGTTCAGTTGCATTGTTCAACATGAAAATATTTTCCTATTCTTCACGTAGTTCATCTTGATGTTGTTGAACTCTCGTTGGAGGCTGTTTTTAACTCGTTACGAATTCAGATGAGCGTTATTGCAGAACAATTCGAATTTTCTCATCCGTGAAAGGATAGAGATGAGTCATACTTGTACAAAATGAATATGACAGGAGAAGGCCATGAAAGCGGAATAAGTACAGTAATGAACTTTAATTTATATTTAATATCTTAAGTTTGCTTGCAATTCGTAATGAATAATATTAAATATTATATTATAGGTATAATATAATATAAGCCAGACGTTTCAATTTATTAGCTAAATTTTCTTCAGTGGCAAAAAACAAAAACCAAAATAAATTTAGATTAAATTAGATTACTCAATAGATTTTTCTGCCCTGTGGTTCGATCCTTCTTGTCGTATGTTTTTAACTCTGTTTGGTAACGTATTGTGATAAAGGGTGAGGGCTGTGACGCTTTAAATCTCAATTACCCAAAAGTACAAATTATTACACCGAATGTTTCAATACTATTTTTTCGGCATTTATATGGACGAGACGTGTCGGAAAAAAAGTTTGTACCGGACTGTGTCCGTCTTCGCTGAAATTAGATATTAGGTCACATACACTCTCAAATGTGCCCCACCAGCTAAAAAGGATACTTTGATGAACGATGAATGGGGCATTTTGAGTGCCTTACTCTGAGGACTTCAAGTACAAAAATGTGTCCCATCGAAAAAATTGACCCACTGTGAACTTTGTTAAGTGCTCCACTCATCGCCTGCGGGGCACTGGTTATTTCACAGTGTACAGAACAATTTCGGATGAAACCGACTGAAAACAAACAGGAAGGTGAAAAGCATCATTTCTAATTACTAAACACATGAAAACGGCGGGTTTGACTGAATATCTTCCATTTTTACAAGTTTATATCTTTTACTAGACGACAAAACAAAATTAGATTCTTTGAATACTAACCTGATCCCGTTGCTGTTGTGATAGTTTACACTGTATTCTTATCTATTTTATCCATCAGATCAACTGATACATCGAATAGTGGTAATTGTAATAGGAAACGATGATAAAAGATCATTATACGTTGTAATAATGGGACAATAATTTGAAAATGTTTTAATTCACATCCATTATAACTGGAATTAGTTTTCAACAATGAGAACGTTGAATAGAACATTACCAATCGATCGATAGCAGTTTTTTGTTAAATAAACAAGATTCTGTGTGGTCTTTCTAACTCATTAATCAAGCTTTTTTTGTCACGAAAAGTTTTATCATTCAAATAAAATGATTTTGAAATTTTCTGTAGTATCATTTGAAGCGCGAGGGTGTGAGCTTCCATGACAATTCCAAGCTACTTACGACGATCGTTTCGTCCTTGCTTAAGGGACACGTCAGGGAAATTTGGAATTTCAAATAATCTGCATCGATAACATCACGTTTTGGTCGAAAGTAAATGTCATTAATTTAGAATAGATCCGTGTTGTGTTCGACGAAAGACTGGGATGAATTATGAGTTTCTCGTTTTGCGTCTTGAGCCAAGAAATTGTGTCTAAAATGGAAAATGTATACCCTTGTCCGGAAATTCCATGCAACTCATATACAGGTTTGAAAGTAATATTATTCCAAAATAGACTAAGTAATGAATTTTGTATCAGATGAAAGTTCGTCAAACTTCGATGGACATTGGTTCTAAGGAACAAATCTGATCAGTTAGTTGAAATAGAAATTGTTGATTGAACTTCGTTATTTTTGAATGATCTAGGATGAAATAGTGTTGATGGCTGGAACAAGATTCCATCAATTCATTCATCAATTTGTTTTCAAACAATTGACTGATTTGAAATCAGAATTAAATCAGTGTAATGTTGAATTGACGACACAATCTTTAACTTGTCCATCAACACTATCAACATTGGATGCAATCGATAATTCATTGGATTTATTTATTCAGTCATATCACAAACATAGATCTAATCAGTTAAATTATCTGCTGACCAAGTATAAAGACAAAATTAATCAGCAACAACTATGGAAAGAATTGTTACACTATCGTCCTACTATTGATCAAGTATATAGAAGAGATATGACTTTGAATGGATTAGTTATTTATTCTTTGATTGTTTATTCATTTTGTGTGTAGCATCAAAATATCAAGCAAATGATGGTTATACAGGATGGAAAACTGGCTGCTATAGAAGAATTGGCCATGCTTGAAGAACAATTATCATATTAGACTGTCAGAATTTTTACATTATACCTCGAAATGTAAGGTCAGTTTTTCTTACGAATTTTCGAGCTTCTTTCGAATGAAACTGCTACTATTATATATCGTTCGACTCCTCACAAAGTTCATGAAACTCTTTTTGAAGCTGTCGAGATCGGTTCAGCGGTATGTCATATGTGTGCAAAAAGACTGATTTCGATATATTGTTTAGGATAAACTCCTTAGAAGAGTAGTCGTAACTCTGCTTCTCGTTTATCTCAGCTTCCTGAGGTGTGGTAGTCGGGAAATTTTTACCACAGACTCAGTGAATGATGGGCAACAAAATGCACCTTTTAGATTTTCAATAGGATCACTTTCATTTTCTTTTATTAATTGTACAAAAAAGTTGCAATTGACTCATATATACACAATGTTCAAGAAAATTTTTAAGAAAAAGTTTTAAAGAAAAATACTTATAATTTTCGTTATTTCGGCCATTTTCAAGTTCGTGCATGATACACAAATGAGAGAACAGTACAATTGTTTTCTTATCTAATAATATTTATTTTGTTTATATAAATAATATAATTTTAATTTTTATAATATAATTTTAAAACCAGGTCAGAACTCCCGAAAGTCTCATAGAAATGTAGTCGTTTTTTTATATGGATATGTAGCTACAAGTGTCCTCTAAAAAATGGGAGTCAAGCGAGACCTAGATTTTCTACGGCTCTGGCGTTGTACCGCATTTCCTACGAGTCCCAAGGCTGGCACCTGGTGGCTCTTCATTGCCTTGAAAGCGAATGGACTATAGATAATCGCTCATGCTGAGTCTCGTGGCAATATTTGCTTTTAGAAAAAGTTTAAAAGTCTATCGAAAAAGGGAGTTTTACGAAAACTAGGGTTTTCAGACTGTTTTCACCTTTTTCAAAAATTCAGTGTTCGCTCAAAATACAACGAGTTCAAAACTTCAGGATATAATCAATTCTGTCAGCTAAACGTGATTATAAGATTGAATAAATCGAAAAATCATATTTTTATTAATGGCTTTTCCAGAAACCCTTTCGGAAAGCATTAGAGTTCTATAAAATCTCTTTCTGGATCTCCTGTAAATAGAATACAGAGTAGCCTAAATGCTTTACATACCGAAGTTTTGAACTCGTTGTATTTTGAGCG